ACAAGTTAAAATACAATAGAGGAACTTTCATCAACCCCACACTTTGGCTTTTTGGTGAAGGTTATTGGTTAGTGAGAATCATGGCTAATGAGAATCACTCTCTATAAGTTGCATTTTTCAAATTCATGAACCTTCTTCTCTTATTTTTTATATACTTAAAATGTGTACCAATTGTTTTCTTAAAAAAAAAAAAACAGAGGAACCTTCAAGAATCTCTATCCTCTTCCGTTTTCTTTTTCTTTCTTTCTTAATTTTGGTCTCTTTTTTTAGGTCTTTTTATGAGTGGGAAGTAACAATATTTCACTGGGCCTGAAAAAGTGGGGAAATCCCTGGGTTCTACGGCCACGAAAACCATGAAAATGTTTGATCACTACACTAGAAATCTCATTTTTTAACTTGAAACGTTATTAAAGTTTCTTATTGTCCTTCAGTAGCGCTCATACATAAATAATTTAATCTCACAATAGTCTTCCATAGCAACCGCAGAATATGAAACGATTACCACGGTCAAAAATGGCTTTTCGGTTTTTCCCCCTTTGGCAGCCATATTGTGACTTTATTCCCCGCTTGGCCAATTGGTCTTTGCTGCCCTCTTTTTTAATATCTTTTGGGAAATTGAATGGATTATTCATTAAGAAATAACCTTTTATTTCTCAAATCCCTTTTTATCTATTCTCAGATTCTAACCTATAAACTCCACCATAAATTAAAAACTTTAGTTCTTAACCATAAGTTCTTAACCAGTAAGAAATCCTCTTCAACAATCTTTTTTTTTTGATGTTTTCAAGGTTGAAGTCATTTGCTAACTTGTCGGGGGAGGTTTCATAGCATTAAACCATAAAATTACATAATAAAAAATAAAAATATTCCTACAATTACCTTCTTAGTCATGACTACAAGGAATGTTACAACAGAAGAAAATTCTACTACAAACTAGTCATTTCTCTGCTGCAGCACAATGCGGGCGGATCATGGTCATTGACGATGTCTTCTTTGGCTGCCTTGGCTAAATTTGAAATGAATAGTTGGTTAACATACCACATTATGTATTGGTTTAGGAAGCTACCACTGCAAAACGCCCCATCCCAGAACCACTTGCAATGCCACCACCTTTCATGTTCTTCCCAACCACCTCATCGCTACTTCTGCTGGCTCCCACTTTTGGCTTCCCATGAGCCTTATGGTCTTTTGGAACTTTACTACTCTCTGATATTAGATGTTTCTGCAAATTACTGCCCTCTTTTTCTCTTTCTTTCTTATCTGTGATGACACATCGTGATCCAAAGTGACTGTGACCATCAGTTCGAGTTGAGATCAATCCAATTTGAGATGCCTCAACTGTGGGACAATCTACTTCCTCTGTTGATTGAGATGGATTGGTTGCATCTGCAGATCCTGTGGCAGGTAGATTTTTGCTTTTTGTTGCTGAAGCCGATGGTGATCTTCCAGTAACTCCACTCCCTTGACTTGCTGACTTATGCTGTACATTAGCTGATCTTGTGTTTGATGATGCAGGCTGCGATGGAAACAGAAGAAAACTGTAAACATCTATTGTGGAGTAGAAAAATGATACAAATTATAAGGCTGAGGAAATGAAACAAAGATCATATAATGAGAGTGATAATGTCCAGTGAAGAGTAATAAGTCAATTATGCCTCTTATACCATCACATGACAAATTGGAATCTCAAATGTACTGGTTTAACCACAATAGAGTTGGGATACAAAAATCTGAAGTAATAGAAATTCTTAAATCATTCCATGTCAGAAAGGTGCCAGCCTTGAAATTATGATTCTATAAAATTAGATCACATTTTCCATCTAACCAACTGGAGAAACCTTAAGCTGCAGTCGTCTTCAAGAAAAACCCACAGTTTCCAACCAAGTTTACAAAGGAAGAAGACTATAACTACAAGTAACCTAGAAGATTTTCACTCAACTTTCCATCTTCTAACCATCTAATCAAACTATAGCTCTTTCACTTAGTAGCTGGAAACTCTAAACTAACCAATTCTTCATGGCTTTCCCTTTGAAAAAATAGAAGGCTTACTAGACCAAGTACACGTTCTTCAATCATACAAGTCATACAAGTATAGATCTTTACAAAGCCTAATAAACTGAAGCCTAACTTCACATTTTTATCATAACAAAAGGTAGATTCATTCACAGGCCACAGCCAGTGTCCAGTAAAAAAATTAGTTAGATATTATCACAGCATTTGAAATAAATAAAACAAAAAAGAAAGTTTTCTAAGGAAAAGGGATAATGGAGATTGATCAAATTAGATCACATACGTGAATATTAGTATCACAACTTGCTTATTACACATGAGACTCACATGACAAATACATATCATGTGCGTGCACATCTGCAAAACATGAGTACTTGGGAGAGATAGAACTGAAATTTGATCATCAAACACAAGAAAGGGCATGATAAAATCAACCAATAGTTTAACTTCAAATGTACCTTGTTTCCATTAGACCCTGGTGTTACAGCAACATGATAGAAAGAAGGCATGGGCTTTGCTTTGAAATTAAGGCTTTTCCGCAATTGTTTAATCTCAGCCTCAGTTTTTTCCTGAAAACAAGTAGTTTTAGCACATTATATGATATCCAAAAATTATTAGTCAAGTACTCTAAAAACAGTTGCCAAAAGAAGGAAAAAAAATGAGTACTCTAACAACAAAATTCATTTTGAAATGATAAGCTAGCCAATGAAATTTTTTACTAATAATAATGGATGACAGATATCAAATGGACCTCATACCTGTGTTCTTGCTTGCATATGGTTCATCTCAGCCTCTTTAGCATGCATCTTCTCTTCCAACTTCATGTAAAACTGACACAATTTAGTAATAAAATGAGGAGGTAAGGCACTCAAACCAGGCAAAATAAACTTTAGAGAATATTAGTTTGGAAATATGGATCTCCGTTGCTTGCCTCTTTCCTCCTTTCTGCTCTCTCATCACTTCTAAAATTGAAAGCAGCAGGTGTTGGCTTTTTGTCTGGCTTTGACAAATGAACAGTCTGATGAAACCTACATGTCATTACTCAACAATAAGATTTAGAAAGTTAAAATATTGACAACATAAAGCAATTCCAAAGCTGTCCAATTAATAAACCTGTTTGGTGTTTGATGTGCTACACGTTCACTTTTCTTTGAAGGAGAAGAATGAGCTTCTACTGCTTTCTTTACACTTGGTCCTCTTACACTGTCAGAAGAGTATCATTCAAATATTTATATCCCCAAGAACCAAACATAAATACTAGCAATATGCAAATAACAGTACCTTTTGTTCTCAACATTCAATTTTGCATTGGATCTTTCACAGTCCTGGGCAAGAAAATCCAAGCATTCATCAAAGAGACACTTAAATACCACAGTGAATTCAAAATTTCAAATTCAATGTGCAATAAATCAAAATGAATACTAGAGTTCACAGAGAATATTCCAATATTCAAGCGGCTTAAATATGATTTTAAATAAAAAATCTCACCTCTTTTCTAGGAGATTTGTGTAATGAACATCTAGGTGGAGTGGCAGCTTGTGATGACAGCTTTTCTGTTTTCATTCTTCTAGGACTCTCTTTTTCCATTTTAGTCTGAGCCTTTGCAGGAGTTTTTGATGTACCTTGAGATATGTTTTTCGAGGACAGGCTGGGCTTAACTTGAGACTTCAATCTAGATTTGGAAGATTTACTTTCCACAGCAGCCTCCAACTAGAATAAAAAAAATTGAGTATGAGTCACTAGGAACAATGCCATTAGTAAACTTTTGGGTAATAGCAAGTCTAACATAGGTGTACATATCATTAGAGGAAAAAAATATCAGCAAGTTTCTAAATACCACATTATTTTTGTTATCTCAATCTGGATGAAGTATGCTAATTAATTTTAACTAATAAGGAAACATTAAGAAGCTTTAAACCCATACCTTTGGTGAAAGATTTTTCTGATCTTCTGAACCTGCAACATCAGGCTCCCTTTTGGGTGATGAATTAGTGGACAATGAAGATTCATCTATATTAAGAGTAGAATCAATGAGATTCTCTTTTACTTCCAGTGCTGGTTGACCAAATGTACTTGGCTTACCACATCTGAAGTCACTTTGATCTGTTTCGTCAGGCTCAACAACTTTAGAGACATTGTCTACCAAAACATCATTACTTACTGAGGCTTCCACTTGAGTTTCAGAATGTAAAACCCCTTGACCTTCTCTTTCACATTCAATTACTTCATCCTCAGCTAGATATTCAGAACCTTCAGGGCTCTTTTTAAACTGAACAGAATGGCTGCCTTCAATTCCATAAGCAAAATGGATATTTTGATTTTCATTATCAAAATTTTTATATTCATTTGGATAATCAAACTCCATCTGTTCATTTTCATAATCAAATTGGCTTCCTTGGTTCCCATTGTCAAATTCTTCTCGATAACCTACCTGGTCCAAGCCACTTTTATCAAACCGATCATAGTGACCAACTTCATTCACATTATCAGATTGATCTCCATAACCCTCATTCTCCATATCACCACTACCACTAGTTTGGCTATCTCTCCCATAATGAACCTCAGATGAACCTGGAAACCTAATACCCTTCTTCTTGAAATGAGCTTCAAAATAAGCTTTCTTCTCAATTACTGAACCTGGTTTTGAGTATTTCTCGACCTCTTCAAGATATCTATTGTGCGAGAAAGACGATCTCCTCTCCCAAGATAGGGGCTCATTTTCGAATCTTCCAAATGATATAGAACCTGAATGTAAAGACTCTGCCTGCACAATTTCAAAGCAATAAAAACTAAGACAAAGAATCATATAGTCCAGAAATCATCTACAAGAATACAGGACATACAACCATGTCTGTTGTGCCAATCCCAATGACCAAAATTCCTGAAAACTATTAGGAAGCCTTTTTTACTTGCTTTCAAGGTACTTGAGTTATTTAAGCCCTCACTCCAATTAAAAAATTTTAGAGACATTCATGATTGCAGAAACAATGATAAACAGAGAACTATTCCAAACATAACCAGTATTAATTAAACATTAGCTCAAAAACCAATCCATTAAAGCCTATAAAAACAAAATTAGACAAATACTAAATTCTCCTGATTTCACATAAGGTTAATTTATCCAATAAAGAGAAGGCCTGTAGAAAATAATTAGTCCTAACATACAACTAAAAGGATCTGTAGAGCACGGCTCCGTACAGTTAAAAACTGCAACTTTTTGGTACTAAAAACACATTTGATGCAGTGAAGAACTAGCTCTACTCCATCAAACAAGATCATACTAGACTACGATGAAAAACAGTTCGACAGCTAAAAATTCAAATAGTTATCCAAAAAAAAAAACTGTAAGCTGATAACAGAAACAAACGCATTCTGCAGATGTAAAGATCCTTAAAGAAAATAAAGAAACCACACCTTAAAACTAATGCCGAACGGCGGCTCTTCGATCTCCCCAGCCATTACCGGCCAAATCAAGCGCCGAGCATCCCCTGTCGAAACACCAAATCAAAAGCTGAATTCTCATTCTCAACAAAATGGCGGAACATTTACGAGAAACGGAAGATCTCTGCGCATTGAATCGAACAGTAGAAATCGTACCTGAGCTTTACGGCCGACAGATCTCTCTCCGGCAAGTAAACACCACTCTTTTGCTCGGAGTGGGCACAGTGTGAAACGTCAAAAGATGTGCGCGTAATGAGGAGCTTAAAAAGTAGATCACTCATAATATTATAATATATCCATCATCAGACATCGCAATAGCGATCGGACGGTCGGCTTTCTCCATTGGTCGTACCGTTACCGTTGACTTTTCAACGAAGGGCTTAGATTTAAGATCGGCGAGGAGTTTCTGATCGTGGAAACGGCAGCTTATTATGATGCAGATTTGAAGCGGCCGGGACTTCCCACGTGTCGGCTGTCGTACAATGATTAATCCACAGATTTTAATCCGACGGTAATAATAAAAAAAATATTAACGCACTAGTTGTTCATACGACTGAGGTAAATTTAATTTTTTTAATAAATTTTTAAATTTAAATTTTATCAATACGAAAACAGATTGTGATGAAAGAACATTTTATTTATAAAATTTAATATGGTTTACTTTTAAATTAATTAAAATTTAATATAATTTTTAAATATCAAAAAATTAATATAAAAACTAAAAAATATTATGTATTATACTAATATGAATTAAATTACATAAAGTATAGTGTTAGATGCGGTGAGTTCGTAATTGAAACAAAAATACTACTAAAAAAAAGAGAAATTGATGATAATTAACTCAAATAGAAAAAACAATAAGAGCAATCTATCACGTACTTTACTCTTCGAGTCAACTGACAGCTTACTAACTTGAGGTGCATTCCCTTTTTTCTATGGACGGCTTTGAGCCGGTCCCTTTACAATTTGTTCTAAAAAGAAAAAAAGAGCAATCTACCACGGCAGGATTAACAACTTGGATAAGGGTCTTATTATCAGATTCAAAGACGACGGTGGAGATTTGATTTATTTATAATAATTTAGTTATTTTTAGTGTAAATATATATATTTTTAACTTGTTTGAAATAAAATAGAATTTTTTAACATATTTTTAGATTATTTAAATAAATTTTTTTACTAACTTTTTAATATCTAAAAGTTATATTAAATCTGATTAATTTAAAATCAAATCACGTACCTTATAAAAAAAACTTTTTAAATACTTATTTTTTTATTTATAAGATTTGAAATCAAAATTTTATTTAAAGAAAACTAAAATTTAATACTTTCTTATCATTTGAAAAAGGGATGAGTTAATATTTTAAAATGTTATAATTTGGTTGGTTAAAAATTTTATTTTTTTCTTTTTTTTTAATTTATCACAAATTAAATATACAATTAATCTTAAAAGTAAATACATATCTATTTATGCACCTGGCCCTTGAGGCCTACTGACATTTGCCAGCCAGTGCATTCCCCCTTTCCCCCGGGCGGGTTCGATACCCGCCCCTTGCAAAATATGTTAAAAAAAAAAAACCATATCTATTCATGATATTTACCAAGTTAAAATATGGAGTTACAAGTCAAGCATTGTTCAAATAAAATTTAACCAAACTATGAGGACAAAAACAAAAACAAACACAAATTAACTGAACGTTGCCGAGCCTTTTTGGAATGGTGATGATCTAACCTTTTTGTATGAATGATTACAGCCGTGAGATTGAGTGGGATCCATGGATAATCATTTTTTTGGGTAATAGGATCCATGAATAATCGAACTTTGATTTTGACTTATGGTTAAGACTGGGCCACCCGGCCCAGCGGCCATTAACAGACAGAGTCTGAGACAGACGGAAACTCGGGCACGCACGTGCATGGGCCGTAAATATCTTTCCATCCGGGGCATTTCAATGGTACGGGGAGGTCTACATTTGCGTACACGATCTCTCCAATTTTGAACTACCAAGTTACATCTCCACCGTACACGTCAGACAATCCGACCTACATGGTAGCCCAACAATCGCCCTTTTATTCTTTTATTCTTTTTTCTTTTTTTAAAATAGGCAATGGAGGTAGCCCAACAATCTCGAGCCAACCAAT